AGCCAATATAAAGAAGAGAGTAGACTCTGTAACCAAGCCAGATGGTAAAATTGCATTTCCTATGAAATATATAGAGATTAATAAAGGTTTTTACTACTTTACTACTTTGTGCCTAGAACACAAGTAAAAACTTTTTACTTTACTACTCTGTGCCTAGAACACAAGTAAATTCAGTCACTGAAACAACCCTGGAAATGATTTTCACCATTTTACAAATGAAGAACAAAGAGGTTAAAAAACACTTGCCCGGGGTTACACAGCCATTTAATGGAAACAGCAGGATTCAAAGTCATGCATCTGAATCTCAAGCCTGTACTTTTGGCCAATTGCCATCCTCTCTTCACCTTGCACCCTATAAATAGTTAGATCTAACTGGGCTTTTGGGGGATGATTTTTTTTTTTTTTTTTTTTTTTTAGTAAGGCTCCTCTTGTACCGCAGTTCTCAATTTCTATGTTTTCTATTCTTAAACATTTCCCACCACAGACTCTTACTTCCTGTAGCTTTCTTGGCTTCCTCATGTTAAGTGGAGACAAGCTTCTTTCCTTGGCACCATGAAGGGCATTAGAGCTCCAACTACATAAGCAAATAACACAGGGATTGTGCATTATAGCCGCTCTTGTCTATCACCACACACCAGAGGCTAGGAGCCACTAAGTGCTTTTTAATCACCCCAGATCTGCAAGAGTATGTTCTAATAACATTTACTAAAGGGCATCGTTGCTTCTACAAAAAATGTTTTCTTAGGTAGTATTTGTTTTAAAAAGAAATGTCTAATAAATCCTATCTTGAGCAATTATACCATATCTTCACATCCTGAGAACTCTGTTGGCAGATTGGATCTTGCTTTTTGTGATGACCCTCTGCTACAGGAGAGTTCTCTTTGGAACCCATGTCTTCACTGTTCTGAATGCCTACTCTTACATTTACACACTCCGTGAATTAAGTAGCAGACAATGCTCAACATAATTATAACATGTTTGAGGTTCACAGTTGCAGCCTCTTTAAAAAGAAACATAAAAACAGCTGATTTTAGCTAAAGATGAGATTACCCATAAGGAGCTGGAAAGAGGTTAGTATGGGGACCACTTTTTTAGACTGCAAATATATTATGTTGGGCTGGGATTGTAGTTCAGTGGTAGAGCACTTGCCAAGCATATGTGAGGCATTGGCCTTGATCCTCAGCACCACATAAAATAATAAGTCAAAAAAATAATGTCCATCTACAAAAAAATCCCCTGAATATTCAAGAAATACCTAACAATTATTAATTATTGAGTAAAAAAAATCAGTGTATTAAGTACTATCCAATTCAGGATGTCCTGTGCTGTTTAAATAATGACCTAAGCATGTTAAGCATTTTGAAGAAATAACATTCAAAGAAAACAAAAATATGTGAGCGAATAAGATCTATCAAGTGTGTTTTGTAACAGATTCATGAAATTAGTTGAAATGATGAAGAAAGTGCAAAATATTGTAAAATACTATAATCACATGGATTCTAATGATATCAAACAATTAGTGGGGTTTTTATTTGTAGAGTTAATTCCATGGATTTTTTTTTAATGAATCCTCAGGTGGAGGTATATTGAAGAAAAACTGTGGCTTATAATGATTCCTCCTGTGAATCAGAAGACTGTAGACAATTTATTTTGGTGGTGGAAATATTACAAAGAAGAATGAATATAATGGAAGCTATTCAAGGACTCAAGAAAAAATTAGCTGTGGGGGGTGTGGGTGTGGGCATGCACACCCACTCACTGATGGCTGTGGACCACTTTCTCTCAAGGCAAGGCATTCTTTAAATCAATCTGAAGGTTTGGCTTTGGTTTTTTGTTGTGATTCTTGTCCATGCCCCTCCCCACAATCCTATGATGAAATTAGTCCCATACTGTCCGTGGAGGTGATAGTGAAAATGTTCTATTAAAACAGGCCTGACAAAGACCAGAAGAAGGGACAGCTGTTGTAAACAGTACTCTGTTAGTGGAAAGGGAACAGTGAGAAGGCAAAGAGTAGAAAGGACATCCAGCCAGGGGTGAGAAGCTCTGGTTCTTGTTACTTTAACTGAGTAACCCTGATGAAAAGCTCTCTGAGAACCAATTTCCTTATTTGGAACAACAACAACAACAACAAAAAAAAAAATATAACAAAGTTCCTCCATTGATACAATATATGTGAAAGTGCTTTGTAATCTGCTCAATTCTATATAAACAAAGTACACTTGTGTTGTACCTTAGAAAAGCCTTTATTTTAAAGAAAGTCTGAAATCAGCAATCATTTTATGGGATTAATTTGCCTCAAATCCAGCAAGTCTATGTCCTCGTATATTAAGGGGTTTTGTTTGTTTTTAAACAACGGAAAACCTCTTGAATTAGCTCACTCACTCTTCTTCAAGGTTAGGTTGGAACTTAAGTGTGTGTGTGTGTGTGTGTGTGTGTGTGTGTGCGCGCGCACGTGCACGTGTATATTTTACCTGATTTACATTTCCCTAGCCACTGTTTGAGGATCCCCAAAGGACATGTCGTTAGTTTGAACTATCTGGAAAGCTGAGTCAACATAATTGACATGAGTTGAATACAGGGTCCAAAGACATGTGCTCACATTCATCAAGTAGCCAGAAATGTAGGTCACTCTGTCCAGAAGGGGCTCATGTTAGGAGACTAAGGTATAGTTCCACCAGCTTCTCTTGGCCACTTGAGACTTTTGGCCACAGGTCCGTGTTGTGAGATAAGAACTTCATCTTCTGAGGCAAAGCTTATATTAGGCAGAAGACAGACAGTTTAGGACGAGAAGGCTGACCTGGGAATGGCTCCCAGGGAAATCTCTGAGCACAAAGGAGGTCAAAATGGAAAGAGGTGGGAAAGCTGAAAGATTCCTTTAGTTCCTGAAAAGGGGCTCTTTCAGGAGTTTTTTTTCTAGAGCCCATCCTGAGCTAGATAATAGAATGTATAGCGACTGGCTTCACCACATCCAAAGGAGGGGAAAAGTCCCTTAGTTTGGACCCTCAGGAACCTTTCAAAGCACTTTAGGATGGATTATTTCTCTTACAGAAAAACAGGACATTTTAATAGGTCTGAAGATCTTTCTTGGGACCAGGGGACAGAGTTTAAAAAAAAAAAAATGGATGTGCTAGTAAAAGGGGGAAATATTTGATCATTTTAGCCTTGAGGAAGAAGCAAATTAGATCTGAGTCTGCATAATAGCAGAAGGGCAAGAGATTCCTGTATGATTTTGAGTTTTATTTGAATAGACATTAATAAAAATGGACCAGAGTGGTGATGTTCCATGGGCAAGATTTTACTAATACTATTTGACAGCTGCACATTCCGAGTATCTGGATTTTAGGAAAGGTGGTAGATTTGGGGAAGAATCTTAAAAAGATCTAACTATAAATATTTATCTCACTTTCATGAATAACTCAATTCTCTAGCACTGAGTTATATTGTTATTTAGAGCAAAAATATATTAAAAATATTATACATATACAGAAATGTGTGTGTATATATATAATATTTCTCGGCTGGCCTAAAAGATATGGAAATTAAATCAATTGAATTTTTTTTAATTCACATTAGTGGAAGTTATTATAAAAATTTGGTGTGCATAGCTACCCATTTTGTACTGTCTTTTTAGTGGTGGCTGATTGTTTTATCGAGACTATACTTGGTAAGGGAATTGTGTTCTTTACAAAACACCTTTGAAGTAGATGCTTATTATATTCAGCTATTTTTCATATAAAAATATTTTTTTCTATTGGGCTCAAAATAGAAAGCATCTACATTTCAGAATCAGTGGATTGAAATTATTCAAGTTAATATTGAATTTATGAATGGAGAGGAGAAAGCTCTATTACTAAATTTGGAATATTGGAAGCTATTTTAGAATCCCTAGCTTAAAAGGTGGTTTTCTTTTTTATAGCCTGAAGAGGAGAGAATAAAACTGTATGAATAATTCATACAGTCCTAGAAATATTAATCAAATAGTTTAGACAGTGATCTATCTTTTCATTTTGACTAATTGACTGATTTGTGTTTTAAGTTCCTGGCCAAGTGTCTGATTTTTTTTTTTCACCCAGAATGTTTGTGTTAACTCCTGGGAGATTTCTAGATTTTGATTAAAATTCCATAGCAAATGTCAGTTTGTATTGACTACATCATGAGTAGGCTGGAGCTGGCAGATGAAGAAATGCACTCCACCTTCTTGTCACTTTGTGAATGGATTGTGAAAGGTTTGTTAATTTGCTCTTCACTCCACTGGAGCAGATACTCAGGAATATCTGCTATGCTGCAAGACCATTTTATTAGCATAATGAGAAGGATGGTTTGGGGGAGGGCTGTTTGGGAAATACGATAATAAGGTACATTAAAAATAGAAATACTTGGCCTTGTTTGCTTTTATGCATGGTATCTTTAGAAACAGTCTTGACTGTTGCTTTCCAGCCAACTCCTTTTTTGGGAAGGGTGATTAAAGGGGCTGGGGCTCCATCTGCCTGCTGATCCACCCAGCCTGAACCTTCCCTTTGCGAGTCTTGCATTCCATCTGTAAACCTACACTGCCCTGACCCCTATAGGTTTGTAAAGTGAAGAATAGATCTTCCTGACTATCAAAGGGCTGCTTCTCCTCTATAAGCAAAAAATGTGGTTGCCTTTTGAATCCCAAAGATAAGCTGCCTCCCTCCCTCCTTTGCCTTCCTTTTGTTGTTGTTGTTGTTTAAATAACATAGTACATGATCCTTGTGTTTCTTCCTAAAGTAAAAGTGCAAGCATTCCACTTGCATATCCTATTAAATGAGATCCATAAAGGATACTAACTTGATGCTGAGAAGAAAGGGGGTGGTGGTGGCCAAATTGGCTGGAGTCCATAGCCCCGTGGCTGAAACAGTGCTTAGTGTGAGATTTATGGAGTGGCTCCTCACCCAGCCGTGTCCCTGCTTTACACAATTTGGTGCTTTGTTGCTATCGAAACAGCCTTACTTTCTAAGCCATTGTGATTGTGCAGGGGGAGGAGGCTGTCGGGCAGGGGTTGGTAGTAGTAGTGAATGACACAGCTTTGCCAGATGACATGTAGCGGACCTCTGCATCAGCCAAGAGGAATTAAGCTTTGTCACTCCCCACTGGGACTACCTTTCTCCTGGTATGTGCGCAAGGAATTCATATGCTGCTGCCGCCGCAGCCACCAGAGCAGAGCCCTGAGTACACTTTGCCAGAGAAAGCAGCGAGCAAGAATGATAGCTGTCTCTTTTAAATGCCGTTGTCAAATTCTGAGGCGACTTACTAAAGGTATGGTGCTTTCCTTCTCATTCAGTCTACGAGTCTGTTGCAGTAGCCTATAAACACAGTTTAATGTTTTTTACTTTCAAATATGCTTGCTTTCACAATTTATTGCCAGGCAACAAAGAACTCAGAGAAATATGTATAGATGCATACATACAGGTAGATATGGCTTTGCTTTCTGTCCGTACATCCCGGCTAGGTTCATGCTGAAATGAGGAAACTGTGTGTGTGTGTGTGTGTGTGTGTGTGTGTGTGTGTGTGTGTTATGATTTCATTCCTTGCTGAAGAGAAAATTGTGTTTGGGTCCAGTGCTGAAGTTATTATGAGAAAAACGTCATTTTTGCATGCTGATTAACTGGTCAAGAGGAGTCAAGTGTGTGTTACTGTCCTTGCTATGATGCATGTATTAAATGCAGCTGGCAGCTCCAGGACTCACACAGCTGGCGAATTTACAGAATAATTGTTTCTTCTATTAATTTTCAACATCTCATGAGCTTTTTCCCAGGACAGCTTTAATTTTTTTTTCTGTGTTAGAATTACATGTTCAAAAATGAAAGTAATTCAAAAATGTTTTGGTCCTGTGTGACATTTAAGGAAGTTTATTTGAAAGTAAAAAATCATTGCTCTGCATCTTAACATCAAGAATCATTGGCTTGAGATGGTCTGTCTTAGAACTCTAAAATATTAATTAAATCTCTCCATAATGTATAAAATATGCTTTTCTTTGAAATCAAGTCTAGCTGTGCCATCTCATTGACTTTGTATGCTATCTATTGCAAAGTTCGTGGATGGCTGCTTTAAAAGCCCTTTCCTATGCACGTAGAGCTATGCAAGTTCCCTTGCCTTATTTCCCTTAGAATCTTCTTTAGAGAAAATTTATTATTGAAAAAGAAACTTCAGTCTGAGTAAAAGTATAGCTGCAAAAGCCTTTCTCTTCTAGCCTGTAACAGAGTACTGTCAAGTAATTAATGGATGTAATTATGCTCTAGAAGCTCTGAACCTATAAATATGTTAATGGATGCTATTTCTATCAGTTTAGCTTGACATATCAGAGTTCTTTGAGCACCAGCAGTGCAGCTAAAAATGCAATTAATATTTTATTTGGCAGAAGAAGGAGCACAAAGCAAATAGTAAGAAATAGATCTGGAGTCAATAACAGGAAAGAGAATAAATACTATAGCACAACTTACGGAATGCATTTGCAAGTTCTGTAGATGGCAGAGTGAGTTCGTTCAGAGGTACTTTGGAGAAAATGTAGGAAAGACTGTTCATTTTAAATTAGGCTCTTAGCATGGGGCTATAAATTCTGTATAGACTGTATTCTATGCAATTGATACAAATATACAATTTCTTTTTATTATTCATAATTAATAAACTATCCTGACTAAGAGTTTTGAAGACATATCTCTGATTCTAAAAAGTTCTTAGCTCATTTTAGCATGTGTTTTTCTTGATGTTGAATTGATGGTCTTCTTACTTTATAATTATGAAATGATATTTTCTATTCTTGTGCATTCTAAATTCTTTTCTTTTTATTTTTTCTGTAACAGGGATTGAACCCAGGGTCACTTAATCACTGAGCCACATCCCAGCCCTTTATTATTTTTATTTTTTTAAACTTTGAGACAGGGTCTAAGTTGCTCAGGGCCTTGCTAAATTGCTGAGGCTGGCTTTGAACTTGCAATTTTCCTGCCTCAGCCTCCATAATCTTTTATAAGTCTTACTAGGAAGAGAGTGAACCCAACAATTTTTAGTTCATATAAGTATTTAAGTTTTTACAGTTTCCCGAGTCTTACAGAAGCATTGATCTGCTGCATCCAAAGAAGATTTAATTGTTTACTTACCTAGTTACTAAACATCTAGAAAAGGGCAGAAAGTATTCATAATTTCTTTATAGTTGCTACTTCACAATTCTTTCCAAAATTTGGTATTTAGGTTAAGATTTCCAATTCACAATTAATTTAAAATCCATCTGGTATCAATTTGCCATAATTGCATTCCTCTTTGTATCTGACTAAATGTTCAGAGTTTTTCAATAACATGCCGGAGTAATGTAATGTGTTACCTTGCCATTCCAAATACAGTCTTGTCAAAGTTCCAGTCCACCTGTTGTTACTTCCAGCTACCTGTTGTTTCAAAGTGCCTTCATGGAGTTCCAGAATCCCACCCCTACCATTATGGTGGGTTCTTAACACTATAATAAATAAAATCAAGAAATGCTTATCATTATAATCTTAAATTTCCCTTCTTCCATGTTTTGGGGTGGGGATGATATGAACTTAGAAGAAGTTTCTTTCTTTCCTACCCCATTCTCCTTACCCATCATTGAAAGCCGCACCTCGTACTCACTCTCAGATATTTAGCACAGTGCCCTTCACAGATGAGGCACTTAGAAACTGTTAAAATAAATTGAATATTTGTCTAGATTAAAGTAGTAGGACATTTGAATTTTCTGGGAGTTCATGGGGAGTGGTTCAAGAGTTTTAATAGAACCCTTGTGGCTAAACCTTACCTGGATCATAGAGGGTAAAAAAAAAAAAAAAAATTGGCTTCATGTCTTCAAAACTGCCTTGCTATATTCATGGTTGTGGTCACCTATAAGGATGCAATCAAAGGGAAATATTTTCTTACAAATACCCACATTCTTGATATTTTACTTGTTTTTTTTTTACACTCTTCCTAATCTCTCTGTTATCTATGTAACAAAAACCTATTCAATATCCATTATGTGCCAGGCACTGATATGTTTGTTCTAGAATCCTAGGTGGGGGCATTTAATAGGTCTATCAAGTATTTTTATCAATATATTGTTGAACAATAATTTCTTCTTTATTTGAGGTGAAATTTTAAGAGGTGGATAAAATCTGTATTTTCTAGACAAATCTTTGGATGACCCTGCATGGATCGCATGTCCTGTAGTATTATGCAGAACATATTTCAGGTGAACTTTTAGCATTTCTCAGACTTGGGACTTGAATCTTTTTCTTATTAAGGCTTCAAGCATCAGATTGAGTTGTTTTGCCTTTTCAGTCCTCCACCAATGGAGAACAGGAAGAATAATTATGACAGGAACATTGAGTCACTGAAAGACCAACCACTCTCCAAAGTATTCTTTTATACCTCCTACTTAAAAACAGACAGGAGATGCTGTCTTCCTCCAGCACCCTCTCCACTCCCTCCAGAATGGAACCTCACCTTGTCTACTGATTCCTTCACCTTGGAGCCAAATCCCAAAATAACATTTTCTCAGCTTTCCAGCCACATCTGACAAAAAAAAAGATTTTCTTGAACAAGTCAAGCCAGGGTACTTGGCGCTTACCTGCACACCTGCTGACCTCAGAGAGCCCTGCATTCTCAGCCAGGGGCTTCTGTACCTCAGGAGAAGTGATTATGCTCTCAGAGAAGGGAATATTCCATCATGGCTCCTGCAGGCTTTGTTCCTGCTCTCTTGGGATGATTGTGTCATTACTTTTCCTTGAGACACGTTGGCCTTGTGTGCAAGGAATCCTTTTCTGGTGTGCTGTCTGGTCTGGCTCTCTCTCAGGCACTAGTGTTTTCAGTTCAGAGATATGAACTTTTTATGCTCTGCTGGCCATGGCATTTCCCATTCACATGCTTTGTTCTACCAAGGTCAACGTCAGCCAATTAATATTTACTGACATTCCACAGGGAGCATGGCTCTGGTCACCTTTTATTTATTAATGCCACCCATGTACCTACCTTCTCCCTACTGGCTTTGAAACTCAGGTCCCAAATCTCTGCTTTTGCTTTAGCATAGATATCAAAATTTTTTCTTACAGCTAGCTTATGTATCAGTTTCAGCTTCCTCTCTGTCCCCAGATAACTACATGGCCTGGAATAGAATTAACTATCCCACCCCTTTCCCATTGACTTTCTCCTGCAGTCCTGCTGACCCTCATCCCAGTGGGGCATCTGAGTGAGATGTCTGTGGCTGCATCCAGCTGCTTCCTGCTGTGTATTCGACTTTCTTTCCCAATCCCTCTTTCTTTCCCCTAGTTTCTGCTTCCAGCCTCAACATCCTTTCTTTATTTCTGTGCCTGGGCATATAGAGGTGTTGCTTTATCCAGTGGCACTGAGCAAAACCAAAAATCTGTGTGTTGAGGTCACACCCACATTCTTAACACTTACCCCACATGGAATCATCATCACACTTGAAAAGAAAGACGAGACATTAATATAGGACTTGTCTCTAGAGGAAACAAACTTAACCATCTTAGCCTGCCAGCAACCTTATTCTTAATTCTCTCCAACAAGAAGAGTCTCACAGTGTGTCTGGTTATCTTTCAAAGGATTATTCCAGTGACCTCTGAGTTCCCTTAAACTCTGAGATTCTTTGACACTCATCCAATGTTTAAAAGTTCTGCTGCTCAGAAATTCACTTTCTATATGCAATCTCAGTTAAAACATCAATACCTGTATTTATTTATTTTGTCAATGGAAGAGGAAAAAATATTTCCTCTCTCTTCCTGTCTGCAAAATCTTTTAACCCAAGCAACTCTGCATCAGTCATTTGAGTTCAGTGTCAATGTTTTGAACATGATGGCTCCCTTTCTGATAGCCTTAAATTTTCTGCTCAGGTCTCCCTGCCCTTTCCCATCTGTCTGTGTCTAGTCTCGGAGTTCCTTCAGCACTCTCCTCTAATGGCTCCTCATCCGCTCTGTGATATGATTCAGAATTGATTATCATCTGGGTGGAGAATGCTGTCTCTCTGCTGGAACTCATTTCTCCTGTCTCCCCATCCTCATCCCTTCTGCTAACCCTCACTGGCCTCCTCTGTCAGATCCTGCCATCTGGAACAGCTTGACTGTGTCTCTCCACCTCATTAACTTTCCATCCCTTTTCAAATCTCACCTGAAAACATATCCTTTCTCCTTTACTCTACCCTTAATTTCAGACCATCAAAGCTAGTTTATTGAACTGATTTATCATTCCAGCCTACAAACTTTTAAAAATAACATGCACTTTAAAAATGCTTCATAAAATAA